TTCCTTGATATGTCTTGACAGATAACACTCCAAATATTTTATATCTCTTGTAATCATTTTCTCTTTTTAGCTCTTTCTGCTGGGTTTTGTTGGTAACATACAAGAATACTGGTGCTTTGAGTGAATTTATTTTACATCCTGCAACTTCACTGAAACTATTAATTGGGGGATTGACTCTTTGTGACTTGTAATTCCCTTCCCCCACCCCCACCCCTCTTCTGGTTTTCTAGGTTTCCTGCAAGTCTCAGCTAAAATTTCATCTTCTGCAGGAAACTTTTTCAGTCTTCTTTAATCTTAGTGCCATCCCTCTGTGGATTATCTCCAATTTATCCTGTATACATCTTATTTGTACATAGTTGTTTATATGTTGCCTCCCCCATTAGACTGATCTCCTTGAGAACAAGGACTGGTTTTTGCCTTTCTTTATATCCCCAGTGCTTAGCACAGTGCCTGGACATAGTTGACATTTTATAAGTGCTTGTTGATTTTACAGGAATGGTTTTTGGGCTTTGTCAAAAACCTTTTCAGCATCTTTTGATATAATTATGTGTTTTTTGTTATTTACATACATACATGATTTTATAGATATTTTATATATTTATATATTAAATATATATTTATAATATACAAATATATTAAACTTATTTGTGTATTTTTTCTATATTTTTATATATAGATGATTTATTCTATTTAAAATCTTCCTTTTGTAGAAACAGACCTACATTCTGGGTATAAATGCAACTTGGTCATAATATGTAATCTTTCTAACATGCTGTTGCAGCCTTTTGTTAATATTTCACTTAAATTGTTTGCATCAATATTCATTGGGAATATTGTTCTAAACTTTTCCTTCTCTACTTTGACTCTCTTGTTTAGGTATCACGATCATATTTATCTCATCGAAGGGGATTAGAATGGTGCTTTCCATTGTTATACCGCAAACAGTCTGTATAATATTGGAATAAGCAATTTCTTATTAAATGCTTGATAGGATTCACTTTTTAAATCTATCTGGTCCAACTAATGCACTGTTGGTGGAGTTATGAACTGATGCAACCGTTCTGGAGGGCAATTTGGAACTATGTCCAAAAGGCTATAAAACCATACCACTACCAAGTCTATATCCCAAAGATATTTTTAAAAAAGGAATAAGACTTATATGTACAAAAATGTTTATAGCAGGTCATTTAGTGCTGGCAAAGAAATGGAGATTGAGGGGATGTCCATCAATTAGAGAATGGCTGAACAAGTTGTGGTTTATGATTGTGATGAAATACTGTTGTGCTATAAGAAATGCCAAACAGGATGCTCTCAGAAAAACCTGGAAAGACTTACACAAACTGATGCAAAGTGAAGTGAGCAGAGCCAGGAGAACATTGTACATAGTAGCAGCAATATAATATGATGATCTGCTGTGAATGACTTAGTTATTCTCAATAATACAAAGATCCAAGACAATTCCAAAAGACTCATGATGAGAGATGCTATCCACCTTCACAGAAAAAACTGATGGAGTCTGAATACAGATCAAAGCATACTATTTTTAACTTTATTTTTTTGGTGGGTTGGGTTTTGTGTGTGTGTGTGTGTGTGTGTGTGTGTGTTTTCTTTTATAACGTGACAAATATGTAAATATGTTTTTCACGACTGCATATGTAGAACCTATATCCAAATTGCTTGCCTTCTCAGTGAGGGCAAAGGAAAGAGAGAGGGAGAGAATTTGAACTCAAAATTTAAAAATATACGTTAAATATTTTTACATGTAATTAAAAGACTAAAATATTTAAAGTGGAAAAAATCTATCTGGTCCTGGTTTTCCCGCTCCCCCTTTGGGAATTCATTTATGATTTATTCAATTTCTCTGAAATAATTTCTTTTTTCTTTTGTTAATCTGGATACTTCATAGTTTTCTAAGTATTCATATATATCTTCTAAATTATCAGTTTGTTAGCATATAATTGGGCAAAATAATTTCTGTTCATTTCCCCTTCAAATATTGTGAATTCTCATTTCATTTTTAATACAAACAATTTGATCTTCCGCTTCTTTAAAAAAAAATTAGACTGTTTATCTATATTACTAGTTCCCCCCCCAAAAAAAACCAGCTCTTAGATTTGTTTATCATTTTGATGGTGGGGGTTTGTTTTTAATTTTATTAATCTCTCCTTTAATTTTCGGAATTTCTACTTTGTTGTTTAGTTGAGGGGTTTTGTTTTTTTTTTAGTTCAGCTAAAGCATAACAGATTTTGCCCTAACTCCTCATTTTATCTCTATATGAATCTTTTTGTAAAAATTAATCCAGCTGTTAGTGGTTAAATGGAACAGGTTATCACCTCTACACTTGAGGAAACACCATCAGCAGGGGCTGGAGCCATTTAGAGGGAGCCTAGACGTCCAAAACTCCTTTAAGGGTATTGAAGAACCTTTAGGGGAGGGGGGGAAATGTAACATAGCTGGCCTTCAGGCAATGGGGGCTGGGGCAGTCTGTGTTACAGTAGTATTATCATCTAACCCACATCTCATCTTGTCCCAAAAGACAGCATGAATGATTGTCAAAAACTTTTCTGGAATCCAAGCATGGTATGATTGTGTCTCTTAATCAGTCTAATAACCAGTCCAGCAGTCCGGGCTTTGCTCCTCTAATCAGACTCGGTGACCTGTAACGGCCCTTCGAGCTTTAAACCTAGGACTACGTGATCTTAATTAACAGGGTATAGGATTTCAGTCTGGTGTTTGTTTGCTAAAGTTAAAGCACAGATCTGACCCTGTTACTTCCCAAACAACTCCCTCTTGTCTTTAGAAGGAAATACAAATGCTGGACAATCTAGCTCCAGACTTACTACAGAATAATCTTCTTCATATGCTCAACCCATAGTCCAGTCAAACTGACCCACCTGATGCTCCTGATACACAATATTTCATCCCCAGACACACTCACTTCTTCTTAGAACCTCATGTTAGCCTCAAGGCTCTGCTCCTTCAGATTCCCCCAGTTCTGCATTCTTTGACCACTGTATATTTATTTGTATATATTCTTATATTGACCTGTCTACAAATATGTCCTACCCCCTAATAGAATGCAAGCTCCCTGAGAGCAAGGGCTGTCTGACTTTTCTTTGTATTCTCTGAGAGAGGCATAGAGTTTCATGAGTTAGGAGTCATCCTCAGCTCCTTTTCCTCTTTTGCCCCTTCCCCAATATAATTAACAATAATACCTAGCACTCATATAACACCACGTGCTTTATAAATATTATCTCATGCGATGCTCACAACAACCCTGTTATCCTCATTTTACAGTTGAGGAAACTGAGACAAACAGAGATTTAAGTGACTTATCCAGAGTCGTATAGCTAATAAATGTCTGAGGCAGGATTTGAACTCAGGCCCAAGTGCTGCCCCAATCTGTTGTTAAAGCCAATCAATTCTACCTTTGTAACATCTCACCAATATCCCCATTTTACAATTGAGGAAACTGAGTCAAACAGATTTAAGTGACTTGTCCAGGGTCATGTAGCTAATAAATGTCTGAGGCAGAATTTGAACTCAGATCCAAGTGCTGCCCCAATCTGTGGTCAAAGCCAATCGATTTCACCTTTGTAACATCTCACCAATATAATCCCTTCTCTTCCCTGACACATCCTGACATTTCCTGACATTGCCTCATGCCTGGACTATTGAAATAGTCTGCCAGTTGGGCTGCCTACCGCAAGCTCTCCCACTCAGCTATCTCTCTTACTATTCCCTGCCCTATTTAATAAACTCTAGTGACTCCTTATCATCTCTTGGATCAAAACTAAAACCCTCTGTTTGGATTCAAAGCCCTTTATAACCTGCCCCGCCCTATGTTTCCAGGCTTCTCACTCTCCCTCCCAAGGACTCTGAGATCCAGTGACACCAGTCTCCTGGCTGTTCCTCACACCAGACCCTCAATCGCCTGACTTTGGACATTCTCTCTGGCTGTCCCCTGTGCCTGGAATGCTCTCCCTCCTTCTGTCCTCCTTCTGGCTTCTCTGGCTTCCTTCAAGTTCCAGCTAAAAATGCCACTTCTTACAGGAAGTCTTTCCTGACTCCCCCTTCATTCTCATGCCTTCCCTCTGTGGACTCTCTACAATGTGTTTGTACATAGCTGTTTGCACATTGTCTCCCCCATGAGTTCCTAAAGAACGGAGACTGTTTTTTGCCTTTTTTGTATCTTTAGTGCTTAGCACAATGCCTGGCACAAAGTAGGCACTTAATAAATGTTTATTGACTGATTATTTTTATTTTTTTTTTTGCTCACATGACAGTGAAACAAGCAACAGCCATACAGATTAATTTTTGTATTAGCCACCACCCATAAACAGTTTGCATTTTACTTTTATCTCTATGGGTTTTGTTTTTTTTTAACCAGGAAGTAATGTTCCCACTGTAAAGGTCAGTGAAATAATTTAATTATGACCTTATGTAAAACCAGATCTGCACATGCCTGACTGGCTGGATCAAAGGGTTCCCAGTTCTTTGGACTGAAGCAAATTAGGAAGTAACCAGTATGGGGAGTTTATTTACATTAAAGCTATACAAGCCTGAGAATTTATTGTTGTTATTTGATTTGAGGAACAGCTGAAGGAAAGGATAGGGCTTATGAATGACTAGGCTTTATTTGTATAAAAAAAAATCAGACAAAGACTGCCTTTTCAGGGTGATAAATACTTTATTATTTTTCATCTTTCAGACTTTTTTTTTTTTAATCAGGAGGAGGGGCAAGAAATACTGCTTTTATTTATTTATTTTTTTTTGCTTTAGTTTCCTCACTGGTAAAATGAGGGGGGTGGGGTTAGACTTTCTTAGGGGCAGCTAGGTGGCACAGTGGATAGAACATGGGCCTGGAGACTTGAGTTCAAATTCAGCCTCAGACACTTACTAGCTATATGACCCTGGGCAAGTCACTTCACCCTGTTTGCCTCAGTTTCCTTATCTGTAAAATGAGCTGGAGAAAGAAATGGCAAAGCACTTCAGTAACTTTGCCAAGAAAATCCCGAATGGGGTCACAAAGAGTCAGACACAACTGAAACGATTCAACAACTTCAAGGGAATGGTTGGAAGAACTGGGGAATCTTTACTCTGAAGAAGGCTTGGTGGGTGAAAGATGGGTGGTATGATTTTTTAAAAAATCATTTATATTGTAAAAGTTTACTAGAAAAATGTGACAATGGTGATCTTTCCCGTTTTCCCCAGACAAGCTCCACCTGCCCCTTTCTTCCCTGTTCATTGGCTTCCTCTCCCTCCAGAAAGCTATAGCCCAGAAACACCAGGTTGGGGTGTATTGTTTGTCAACATAAATTGCATTTTCTGTAGTCCTCTTTCTCTTTGTTGGGTGGAAAGTCCCAACGGGCCTGAGAAACAGCAGGAGAGGACTTGGGCTGGCAAACACCGGGTGTCTGACATCCGTAAAGCCTGAAGTGCCCAAGCATTTGAAGTCCCCACTTCGGGAGAAAAATTCTCAGCAGCCACCCATGCATTACGGGGTGGGTGGGAAGGAGGTGAGGCCAAACGTTGGGATCCCAGGGGTGTCTAGGGGCCTGGCAGCTGGGTTAGTTTGTCGAGCAGGGTCCGGGGGGGCCGGGGGGGGGGTCTCGGAAGAGAGGGGGCTCGGCCGGAGGACCAGAGCTCCCGCGGCTACTGGACCACCGGGGAGCACTGCAGAGGGCGGGGCGTGGGAACCTCTTTGTGGCCCGGGGGAGCAGCTCGGCGGGCGGAGCCGGGGCTGGACCTGGACCCCGCAGCCTCCGCGGCCTGCTCGCTCGCTGCATCTCCGACTCCCCCATCTCTCCGGCAGGCAAGCAATCAGGAAGGCTGGCAGGAAGGCACGGGCAGACGCGCGGCGGCTGGAGCTGGAGCTCGGGAGAGAAGCGCGCGGCGGCAGCAGCAGCGGGGACAGCTCCGACCCCAGGATGAGCGGGCTGCACATTGACCGGGCCCGGCTGCCCGGGGTGCAGGAAGGTAAGGCCAGTTCCGGGCACCCTAGCCTGCCCGAGGGGCGGGGTCGCTGGGACAAGAAGGAAGGGACCTAGGTAAAGCACCATCCAGGTGGGCGGGGAGGGCTAAGGAGGATGCCAAACAAACCGGCTTTGTACAGGGCATCTCCCGAGGAAGGGGCTCCCTGGGGCAGGGTTCTGGGCTTAGGGGTCCCCTTTTCCTGGGTGGATGCCTGCTCGGCCTTTGTCCCTTCCACCTCCGGCTGGCTCTCCAGCCCTTTCCAAAAGTCGCCTCTATTTCCTCTTCTGACATCGCGCCGCACTGGGCCATTCCTCTACAGAGCCCAGGTCCCCCTTTCTCCAGCCTCTGCTCTAACCCTCCCGGGGCCAGGGTGTGTCGCTCCGGGCCATCAGGTAGCCTAGACTTCCCCTTAGCGGTAGAAATACCTGCTGCCCAGCCCCTCCCCTTCCCAGCGTGGATCTGAGGCTTAATCATTCCCCCAGCAGCTACTGCGTGCCAGGCACTGGGGGATGAAAAGACAAAGATTGAAACAGCCCTTTCCTTCAAGGACTTAGAGACCGAAGGTACCTCAAAAGCCATCTAGCCCAACCCCCTTATTTTACTGATGAGGAAACTGAGGCCCAAGGAGATGCCTTCAAGTGACTTGCCCATGAGTACAAGGCAAATAAATGGCAGGGAGGATTCGAATCCAGGTCCAGCACACTTTACCCTATGTCAGGTTGTCACTAAAGTCAGCTTACTGTTACAGTGAACCTGTAAGCTGGAACCCCTTAGAAGCAGTCTACATGGCACAGTGGAAAAGCTGTTGGAACCCTGGTTTCCCCCTAGTGCTCCCTGTGTGACCCTGGTCAAGTCATTGCATCTCTGTCCTCTAGGTAAAATGAGGGTGTTGTATTAGAAAGTTCATTCTAGCCCTCGATTTATGATCCAGTGTGTAAAATGGTGTATTAAAGGATGGGGGTGAAGGGTGGGGGTGATACTTAAAGACAGAACAAAAAACGAAAAGTAAAAAATTGGTCAGTAAACTTTATTAAGCACCTACTGTGTGCCATGGAGACCTCCAGAGATCTAGATTCTGGTTTTTACTCTGCCATTAACCAGCAGTCACCTCACCTCTCTGAGCCTCAGTTTCCCAGTCTGTAAATCCACCTCCAAGAGTCTTTGTTCTGTCCAAATCAAGAAGCAGATTGTCATGTGTAGACAACTTTGTCTCGTGTCTGGAGACTCTTTGGTTGTCTAGCTTGAAAAGTCAGCCCCAGTTTTATTTTTATGACTCCTGTGACTTTAATTGCAAATAATCTTCCTCAAGAAATTACAATGGAACCCCTTTATAATGGTGTCACAGAACAGGGCTGACAGCTGTTAGGCCAACCAGGCCATGTCTGGCTTTGAGGCAGCTGGTGACACAGTGGATAGAGAGACTGATGGATTTGGAGTGAGAAGGACCTGAGTTCAAATTCAGCCTCAAACATTTGCAAACTGTGACCATTGGCAAATCACCTAACCTCTGTTTGCCTCAGTTTTCTCAATTGTAAAATAGGGATAACAGGCGCTATGTAAATGCTTATTCTTCCCCTCCCCCCTTTTATGGTGGCATTAGATTTGGAGGAAAGTAATCTTTATTTAACCTTTTAGAAGATTTATGGGAAAACATGGACAAAGATTGTATGAAACTGGGGCAGCCAGGTGGTACAGTGGATAGAACTCCAGCCTTGGAGTGAGAAAGATCTGAATTCAAATCCGGCCTCAGAAACTGGACACTTAATAGCTGTGTGACCCTGGGCAAGTCACTTAACCCTGATTGCCTCACCAAAAAAAAAAAAAAAAAGATTGTATGGAATGGAAAGTTTAGAAGTGTTGTGATCTTTGTCAATGATTGTGGACTTACAAATCTTTCAAGGTACCAAAGAATATTGGACTCCAGGTAAGTAACTTTGGTCGTGATGAGGTTCATGTTTTTAAGATTCAGTATTTCATTTTTAAAAATTCATCATTTTATTGTCAAGAAACTAAAAAGGCACAAATTTGATACAAAATTGGAAGAAGAAAAACAAGCTTTGTGAAATCCCTTTTTTCTTTTCTTAACAGAAGTTAACTAGCAAACACTTCCCACTCCTTTATAGTCATTATTGTATAAGGCAAAGGATCAGAAACAGCTGATTTCACTATTGGGATGACAAAGGGGTTAGGAGTAGATTTTGCTTTTAAGAAGAAGCAAATAAAAGCACCCTGTGTTTTTGTACAATAGAGAGCTCATTAGATAGATGTTTTATGCATAACATTTCTTTTTAAGAACTGCAGAAAATGCTGTATAATTTTTAGCAAAAGGCAAAACTCTGGAGAGGAGGATTCCCCTCCCCCTTTCATATTATTAATGGGACATTCCTAGTAACAAAGAGCTTTAGAGAAAAACAATCTTTCTGTTCTGTCCTGTTTTTGAGATTCATAGGATGTCTTTTTATTCAAACAGGAAGCCACCCATCCAAGGGAAGCCCCGAGAATGGTGATTATCCCTATAGGGCAGATTTGGGGATGTGTTATTTGCCCAGTGTGCCTTTTAACAAATGGACAGGCATCTACCCTTGTAGTTAATCAAAAGAAAGAAAACCAGGCATTTTGACACAGTTCAAGGAAAGAAATTAGGGCATTACTGGAGGAAATTGTACATTCCCCAAAGCAAGATGGAGTTGGACAGAAAAAACACGACTTTAGCTCCGTGGGTGCCTTTACCCTGTATTTGTCTCCTGTAAAAAAAATATCTTTTATTGAGTTTTGGTACGGGCAGAGCTATGCAGGGCCTTCTTGGTATTGACAGTAAATCTCCAGGGAAAACACTAAATCTGACAACATTCCTTTGTAAGGAATACATGCGACTCAAGAGTATTGGCATTTTTTAAAAAACAATGCCAGCTTTTTTCCTCTGGGAGAAAATATCCCTCAGTATGCTTTTGTTCAGAAAGCAATTTCTTTGTTGTTAATGCTTTGAGAAACGGCCAATGTCCTTGTGTTTCCGATGTAACCTATCCATTCGGTGTTTTCTTTCCGGACTACTTTATCAGTAGATGCCACACCCCTCCCTCCGCCCTGTCCTCCCCATACTCAGCCTTCCCACATTTTAGGGGATTTTGAACCCTCTGCTTGGCAATTTCATTTCAACGATGACAGGCCAAGGGACAGAGGTTTGTCTTGTGCTCCGAAAGACGGAATTCTAGCTTCTCTTTAAATTGCAAAGATTCCTTTGCTGACATCAGGCTGGCCCAGCATTGATAATAGACTACATATGTGTGATTTTCAGTACTGGAAAATGAAGGATCCAACTTCATGAATGCTAGGTCTGCCGCTTTCGGAGCCTATTCCTGCCTCTTCCTTTTATGGGTTGTGGTCAAGGAGAATAGACAGACCCCTTAGTCCTCTGGGTCTCAGTTCTCTCTTCTGTCAAATTAGCATAATATTAGCACCTGCTTCACAGGGTTCTTATAAGGCTTGAATGAGATAATTTATGCAAAGCACTTTGGAAAAATTAAAGTGCTTCATAAATGTCAGTTGCTATTACTAATATTGAAAAATCATTCTTATCTTGATCAAATGAAATGTTGATTGTAAAGTGCTTGATACAGTACCGGGCACATAGTAAGCACTATGTAAAAGTTAGCTATTATTAGTATTAGTATAACTTGTTCAAAGGAATTCAGAGGGTAATAGTCCTAGGACAACTCACCGTCCTGCTACAGTTAGTATTATTATTGTTGTTATTGTTATTATCTTCTCTTATTTTGGATGGGGTTCACATAGAAACAGTCCTGGGACAACTCACCATTCTGCTACAGTTAATATTATTATTATTATTATCTTCTATTTTTTTGAATGAGGTTCAGTCCTGGGACAACTCACCATCCTGCTACAGTTAATATTATTGTTATTATTATTATTATTATCTTCTGGGTTTTTTTTTTGGATGAGGTTTAGATAGAAACAGTCCTAGGACAAGTCATTATCTTGATTTGGTTATTTTCTATATAAAGTGGACTGTTGTACAGGTGGATAAAATATCTGCTTTTTGTCATCAGATGAAAATGTCAAGATATAAGCTTCTAATAATAACTAGAATTTCGGTAGGACTTTTAGGATTGCAATGTGCTTTATATATACTATTTCATTTGATCTTCACAACATCCCTGGGAAGTAGGTGTTGTCACTATCTCCAATTTACAACTGAGGAAACTGAGACAAACAGAGGTCAAGTGACTTGCCCAGGGTCACTTAAGTGTCTGAGGCTGGATTTGAACTCGGGTCTTCCTGACTCTAGGCTCAGTCCTCTTACCTCCTGTGCCACCTAGCTGCTTATCTTCATACCTTTATATAGTGTTTACATATTCTTTCCCCCATTAGAAAGTGAGCTTCTTGAAGGCAGGGACCATGATTTTTGCCTTTCTTTGCATCCCAGCGCCATACAGGGTGACTGGCACAGAACAACAAATGTTTGTTCACTTGACTCAGTACAGTTCTGGTAGCCCACTGAGCAAACGCATCATACCACGCCTGTGTTGCACTTTTCTTAGAATTCTAAGAGTTTTATCTTGAAGGTTGGGGCTCTAATCACAACGCTGGTGTGCTAAAGTGACAAGGAGCGTTCTGTTTCCGGTGTGAGCATTTACTCCTAAGCAAACACTGCAAACCAGGGCTCTATTTATTGTTTCATTGGTTGTCTAGACAGCACAGCTAGGTGGCGCCAAAGTGCACAGAGCGCTGGGCCTGGAGTCAGGAAGACTTATCTTCATGAGCTCACATCTGGCCTTAGATGTTTCCTAGCTGTGTGACCCCGGGCAAATCACTTTACCCTACCCGCCTCAGTTTCCTTTTCCTCCTCTGTAAAATAAGCTGGAGGAGGAAATGGCAAACCGGCCCAGTATCGTTGCCAAGAAAACCCTAAATGGGGTCACCAAGAGTTGGATGTGACTAAAACGACTGAACAACAACAAAGACTTAAGAAAGTGGAGGGAAGG